AAGCCGATCTTATAACTTAAGAACGACCTTAAGTAGATACCGATATTTCTATGTATCGTAATTCTTGTTAAGCTCTATACCTCTATATGCATACATTCCGGTAACGGGGCGAAGTTCCTCTACAAAAATTAAGTATCTATCTCCTTGAAGTCGTCTTTCTAATAAGCACCTTCTAATCACGATATAGCGATAGAATCGATATTACGGAGACTTTAATATATTTACCTAAGCTAAGAACGGCTAGGAACGTCGTATAAGCTCTATAGAATCTTGAAGCTTCTATTTACGAAAGCGACCACAAGACTCAGAAGAAGGTTATAGTCGGTAAATAAATGGCTAGGGGTAGCTACGAAGGTATACTGCATATCCAACTTCTCCGCAGTTTCTACTCTAACGTTTCTAGGTTTCTAGCCTCGTTCGGTTAAGAATGTGCCGAGGAGCGGCTTATTTAAGTATTTATATATATCGACATTTTGATCTATAGTGGGTGCGCTAAGCTTATATAAGTATATAGCAGCACTAGGCGAACGTACCTAAACTAACGCGTTTGATACGCCTTTTTGCACCTAAACCCCTCTACCGATGAACTTCCCCGGGCTCCATGGTTTTCGCTTTACATTAACGATTCGATAACTAGAGCGCTAGCTCCACCTCCACTATTGTAGATACCTACGCATCCAATCTTGCCTTTCTTAGCTTTAAGGACTCCGAGCAAAGTTGTAACAATCCTCGTACTAGATGTACCGAGAGGGTAACTAATTACTATAGTATCTCCGTACACATTAACCTTATCCGCACTTAAACCTAAAATCTTTATATTAGTAAGGGCCACTACGCTAAATGCTCATTAACTTCGAAGAAATCGACCTAATCTTAGCTAATACCGATATACTTTAGAGCCTTGGGAATAGCGAGAGCTAGCGCTATTATAAATTTACTAGACTATTATATAGTATCTCTCTAGCCTAAGATCTTTACTAGTAGTTTAGTGTTTAGCTTCTTAAGCTTAGCCTTCGAGGCCAGCATAACGACGGCGCCTCCGTCGCTTAAAGGGGAGGCGTTAGGAGCTATCACTATACCTATCTCGGGAATAAAGGTAGGCTTGATTAATCGTAGCTTATCGACGTTTAGGTTCTTAGGCTCGTCGTCCTTGTCTACTATTACGCTAGGCTTCCTACGTGCACTAGGGAGCTATACTAAGATAATCTCAAAATAAAAGAGTCCCTCTTTTTGAGCTGCCTACGCCCGCTAGTATAACTAAATAGCGTAATCGTCCTATTACTCGCGATTAAAATCGTAATCTCGCGTATACTCCTTTCTCTATAGACCTATATATTCTTACTTACTATACGTATCGAAGAGACTATCTTTTAGAACTCTATCGACTAAAGTCTAATTACCGAACTTAGCTCTAATTCGTATATTGGGAAGATAGTAAGGGCAGTTTAACATAGATTTAGTACCGCTAGCTATAACGATATTAGCGTTACTAGTCATGATAGTCTAGGCATCGAGGACAATAGCCTTAACGCTTAATACGTAGACCTTATTGACCGTAGTATAGACGATTAACTCGTCGAGACTAGCTTCGAGGGCGTATT